CATTGTGTCCCAAATATGGAAGTAATTCAGACATTGGAGAAATGTTTACGAAAAAAAGTCTTATTTTGTGGTAGACAAAGAGTGGTCACTAAGGCGGAAGTCAATGAATGTGAGGTGCTAGGATGCCATAATTTCCTCTCTTTTCTGAATGCCGACTACTTGGTTCTTGTGTTGCTATGGCCACGTTTTCTCAGCTTAAGCAGTGGCTACAGAGAGATTATGAAAGACATACTTTTTATTGATACTTCTGTTATTATTCCCAGACTCTTCCCCGGAACCATTTTCAGCACCATTAGCAATTTTAGGATGAGTAATGCTGTTGTCACTTTTTAACGCGATTCTACTTCTAGACTTAATCGTCATTCTCCGATATCTCAAGCAAAGTGTAGGCGGCTTGAAAGTTGAGATACAAAAATGGCGAAGCTGATCTAGTAAAGGCTCATCTAGTGAGAAAAACGCACAAATTATGGAGGAAAAAGGATGCTCAGAATTCGTCCCTAAAATATGACAAAGTAAATGGGAAAAGTACTACATTCGATACTTATACGGTCATCTTTGGCTTCCTCCGGCACTAGAGCGTTAGGGTACTCCACAGAATAAAAAAGCTTTCTTGGCATCATAAATTATTATTTAATCATTAAATCCTCTGGAATGGATAGTGTGGGAAGCGAAAATTCTCGAACATGTGATGATTGTTTGGGGGTATTCGTGACTGGAATTTGGTTATATTTAATTGTGGTCATGGGTTAAAAGTGTAAAGCAACTCTCATCCGTAGGTTTTAGCGCCAGTGAAGTTACGCTCATGAATGCATATAAAATTAATGTGCTTCATTAAATGTAAAGCTTTTCGTCATCTTAACCCGAACGTTATGACTGCAGTTAGAAAATTTAAGTATTGTGATTGTCATGCTGTTAGCGAAAGATGTAATCACTCGTCAACAGTACACGGTATGATATGCAACTATCAAAAAGTGAGCTCACAATAACCAATTATTTTAAACGAACCTTTACCTAAGACCACGGCGCCTTTGAAAGCAAAGCAAAGGAGTTATGCGCTGTTAAATTGAAAAGTGTGAAATATCTGGTATTGTCGAAAAGTACAAGTTCAATTGGCGAAAGTGTTTAGCAAATATTTAAGTTTAATTGTAAAAGCCAAGCAAATGCAGATAGTTGGAGCCGTCTTGCAGCCTTGCATGCTGAAAACGGATGAACATTGAATATGTTGTTGGGAGCAAAATAAATTTTTTTATCAATTTTGTTTTGTTACTCTTCAACGGGGCTCCGAATCGGTGGAATTGTGGAGTCGGTGAAAGTCAATCCCACTGAAGTAACCAGTTATTTGTCCACGTTCAATCCTGTAACGATGGAGCTGTGAATGAGGAACTGCTAATTTCAAGGAAATTGCGAACCACATCAAAGACTTCTGGTGTCATGGTTAGCTGAATGAAGCATGACTAAAACAAAATGTGTGATTTGCAATGCACTTGAACGTAGTTGCTAGTCGGAACATAACTCTGTTTCGGTTCTTCAGAAGTCAGCATGTTTACTTGACAGTCAAGGGAGGGGTTTACGGTTGAGACCAAAT